CCGCCGGTAAATATAATCCTTTAACTACTGATACCGATTATTTACACGGCGAGAGCCGTCGTCTAAGGTTTCTTACTTTACAGCGATACGGCGGCAGTGTAAAAGCAATGGAAGTCATTACACCAGGTTTGCCGCAGTGATGCACCGCCTCCCCCCCCCTTCCCACCATGCTTCTAGTCGTCTAGAGGGATCATTCAAGTAGGCCACGGCTCCATGGTATATAAGCGCCTGCAGTGCGTAATATGCAAGACCACTCAGTTAGGCTGAACAAGAACTTGTTCGAACACCATCATACATTCTTTAATTCTGATTTATACATATTTCGTCACCGGATACTGGCATCTACGTTTGTGTTTATAAAAGTTAGATTTTTGAGAGCCATGTATGCGTGATTAGTTTAATTCTGTTATACTTTTCTTGGGTCTGTGGATTAGGTTTGGTTGGTTTTTGCCGCACCGTCGAGGTCTTAATATATTGTGTCAACTGAGTTCTACAGAATGCGCAATGCATTCATGATTGGAGGTCTGTTCGTAGGAGCTCTAACCGCACGTCATTACTAAATACCCTTCCCCTTCGTTTGTTTATAAGTATATTAGCGGTAGACAGTATAAATCAGTACGCGTTATTCATCGCTACAAGAATGTTTGTCGCAACGACAACACGGCATTTGTTTCTGTAGCAAAGCTTGGATAAGTTACGGTGCGTAACAGCCATTAAATGACCAGATGTAATCTTTTGACCGCTTCCAATACATTCGACTCTAACACGAGTAGCCTCAAATATAACTAGAGAGTGTCCTTAACCAATGCGACTGATGGACAATCTGCAGCTCTCCACGCGAATACTGGTGAGCGGTGCACAAGAAGCGAATTGTGCTGCATTAACGACAATCCAGATTTGGTACCTGATTGCTTGCACGTACTTTACTGCCGTGTTGTTGAAACCGAGAATACAATGTTATGCGATATGCTCAGCAAACCAAGCATCCTCAGAAATCTGAGATGTACAGTTAGCCATGCGTCTTGAGGTCATCACCTGAAATACTCTGCCCAAACAGTTAGAAAGGAAACAAACGAGGTGACGACTTTTGGGTATCATAGCACGAATGACACGGTATAACTATCAGCGTAGAACAAAACCTCTTTTTCGTTCGTCATGGAAACTGACGCGGCGTTGTATCAATCGGAGCATGATCGCGTCTGACGGTTCGGTTTTTTTTCGCGCTTTGTAGTGAAGCGTTTGATTATAATTCTATATTGGATCTGAATTGAGCAGCGTCTTTCAGTAACGATATCTCCTTACGATCCCTGTTGCGTTTTGCCTCTCCGCGACTGGAAAAGTAATTTCGCAAACCCAGAGACAAAGTGCTGAACCTCTTCTTCCTAATAGCCTTTAATTACTAGATCTGAACAACGCAAGTCACGAATTCGCTCTTTGAGTTTGGTTACTCCGTAAGTTGCAAAGTAATGCTAGGTGTAAGAAATCCTTTACCTGGTCGTTAGTTCGTGTCACTACGTCGTTTTCGCTTGATTAGGCCTCCGTTCTCCGCGCAGTGTCAGCCATGTTTCAAGGACCAGGACGATTGTTTCTTGAAACGAAGGTTGTTAGAAAGGTGAGGATCTACTTGTTGATATGTTCCCACTATCTTGATTACCGTAAACGTGGCTAGGCGCCGGCAACGTTTCACGCGACATATTTTGTGGGATTTTCTTTTTGGTGTCTTGTTTCGCTGTTGGCTTTTAGCCACATCGGTTGCTATGCCTCTTTCAATTTTGCATAGATGGGAATGGCATTTAAACTTAGTCGCACCAAGCTGGACGACTTCGTCACGTTGAAAGTAGATAAATTAATTAAGCGTTTTTTAAACATGTGGGTGAAAAGTTGTACGACTTCGATCTGTACTGATATTAGACCTGACCGAATATCAGTTAGTGCTAAATGCAGTTTCAAATTACCAGACATGACCACCCGCTAGACGTATGAGATGACCAATAGGATGCTACGGACGTGGCTTTAAGTTCTTGCAAACGTATCTAATGAATTATGCATATAAACAATCCAAGGTTTGTATTCTGGCTTCATCCGTTGTGTAATAGTGCTCATCAAATTTGTTATAAAATGAGAGTGGCAGTTGCTTCTGGTTCCTCAGATAAGGTTTACAACCAAGGTATTCCGCTGTACAGACTGCCCCCTACGAAGCTAGCATTTTCTGTCAACATCTGATCATGACTGTCCGGCTGGCCAGTCGTTGGGACGTCCAGAGGGTGTATTCGCTTATGATGGGATTGTGTCCCGCCGACGATTAGCTGTTTGTCGCACAAAAGTTTAACAGACAGCAGCCGTTGTCACACCCGTGCTCAATTACGTTACGGCTTAGTACACCTAACCATATTTTGTACTCGGCACCCACCT